AACCGCTGCCGGGAGCGGCACGCACTTGAGGCGCTGCCGCTCGCTCATCTCGCCAATCTCCAGCCGCTCCCAGTCCGGGTCGTCAAAGAGATAGTCAAAATCGCGTGGGACAAGACTCGACGGCGGCTGGAAGAAGAGCATCTCGGCGGTGAAGCCCTCTGTGGAGACCGAGGTCACCTTGGCCGGCACCTGAGGGCGGCTTGCGGCGGGCGGTGGCGCGCGCGGCGAGAGGGGGGGCGGCGGTGGACGCCAGCCATATGCGGCGGCACGGTGAGGCGGGACGGACGGGGAGAGGCGGATGCGGGAAGGATGGGAGGTGGCGAGGAGTTGGCACGCGCCGTGTGCGGCGGGCACTTGACTGAGGTGCCTTCGATGGTGAGGTCGTCCCAGTGGATGCTGACGTAGTCACCGGTCTGCACAGGCGTGTCGGCTGGAGAGGCGGGCGAGTCGTAATGCGGCATCGTGGTCCTGGTGCAGGCGCGGGAAGGGGGGGGCTCGGGTGGTGGGGCACGACGTGGGCGGGCGGGCTCGTGCCAGCTGTGCTGGCGAGACGCGCTGGCGCGGGGCGGCGAAGGCGAAGGCGATAGCGCCTGCCCAGCTTGCCGCTCCCCGCGTGTTCGTCCTCACTGGTTCCCGCCCTGGATGAGCGGTTCACCCTTGGGTTCTTGCCGTCGTGCCTGGGCAGGTCCCCAGCTGTGTGCAGGCCGGGTCCCCAAGGGTGAAGATGAGCGGTTACTGACCGCACTCCAAGTGCTCCAAGTGCTCCCCTCAAGCCAATCACTCACAGTAACGACTACCGTACACAGACCCTGTCACAAGTATTCGCGCTCAAATAACGCCCAACCTTAGATAGATAGACCCTCGGGTACGTACTCTCTCAGAAAGAAAACAGACAACCAAGGGAGGGATGGGAGGACGGCACGCCGCCTCCACACAGGGATTTTAATGTACGTACTCTCTATGTATGTAGGAAGGTGAAGAACAGTCTCTCCCTCGGGTATCTGGTTAAAATTTCTCCGACGAGATCTCGCTGATGATTTACGTTCTTGGGGCATCAAGGACGAAACTTGCCGACTGCCGACCGCCATGGAGTTGCACATAGCTGCAGCTCAAAGACGCATCGAAACTGCCCACATGGGCTCGCTCGTGGATGCGCTGAACTCGATCGTCGTTGATGACCCTCAGCGGATCCTCGTTGAGGCGGCGAGTATGGGAGACAGGCGTGGCATTCTTGCGGCATTGGACCGTGGAGCACGCCCCGATCAAGCATCAATGCTCGAGTGCTGCAACCATCCGGTGACGCCGCTTGCTGTCGCAGCACGATTTGGGCATGTGGGATGTGTCGAGGCACTGATTCGGTCCGGTGCAAGGGCAGATCTCAAAGTGGGGAGAGGATACACCCCGCTGTATCTTGCAGCGCAAAATGGCCATGTGGACTGCGTCCTAGTCTTGGTGGCTGCGTGCCCATCATCGGTCGAGCTGAGCACGCATGAAGGAGTCACGCCGCTTCTCGTCGCTGCTCACCAGGGCCACGCGGCGTGCGTGCAAGTCTTTCTTCTCCAAAACGCAAAAACACACGCAACATTGTCTGATGGCAGAGTGGTCTCTGCTCACGAGGTTGCAACGGCGGCGGGAGAGGCGGTCTGCGCGTCGCTGCTTCGCTGACCTTGGCTCTAGCGCACGATGCCATGCCGGAGCGCTCGGACGAGTCTCAAATTTTTCATCCCTTTTCCTTCGGGGTGTGCACTGCATCGCTGGCCGATCAGTGGCTCCTGTGCGACGCGTGCCCGAAAACGCAATGTGCATTTTCCCCCCATGTTCCTCGTGGTGATCAGTGTGCCCGAGCGGGACGTCCTCCTGTGCGTGCGCGCTCTCTCCGTCACCATGCTGTGCTCAAGGTGGTGCTGGAACAAAAAACCCTCTGATGTTTTGAACTGGAAAGCCTGAGCTGTTACGATTCTCTCTCTCAATGGCGACGGCTGTAGAGTACGACGCGGTGTGGGGAAAGGGGAAAAGGGCTGTCTATGTTGAACGCAAGCCGAATGGAAATGCCAAATAGAAACCCACACACACACAGCACGCGCCACACACACACACACACACACACACACACACACACACCACACACACACACACACACACACACACGTGCACGAGAATTTTGTGTTTCCCGTCCTATTCCCAGCTTGAAATCGAACCGGAGAAAGAGGGCGGGTGCACACCGCCGCACAACTCTACCCTGCCCGATCCCACTTGTGCCTCAGGTGCGCATAGTCCTTTGCCGTGAGCAATGGCATTGGGCGCAGTGCGCTGTAGTTGCCGTCCTTGACGCCTCGTTTGTACTGATGGTGGCGGATCTCGACGTTGCGTGCCTTGCGGAACCATGCGCCAGCGTCGTCGATGTTGTGGAAGATGTGCGCGTCGTCCTCGATCCCGTGCACGGCGCGGAAGTCTAGCACCGCGTCCTTCGCGCCCCACGACTCCATGAGATCCTCGTGCCAGCCGAAATCGTCAACGATGATGAACCCTCCGACCTCGACCAGGTCGTAAAGGTTGTAAAAGATGTCAATGGTTGAGTCGTACATATCGCCATCCAGCCTCAGCAGCGCAAGCCGCTCGCCGCGGCCCTTGAGCTCGGCACGCAGCCCCGGCAACGAGTCAACAAAGTATCCCGGCACCATTCGCACCCCCTCCATAGACACTCCAAACCGGTAGAAATTGCGCGTCACAGTGTCCTCGCCCTTGGCGAGCGTGGCGTTGAGACTCTTCGACGCGTAAATGGTCTCATCCGGTCGCAGGCTACCTGAACGAGGTGGAGGCAGCCCCTGGAACGAGTCACACAGGTACACGCGCCGCTGCATCTGATAAACCTCGATCACCGCCTTGGCAAAGATGGACATTCCGCCGCGCCACACGCCGCACTCGACGTAGCTTCCAGCGACGTTGGCACTGCGCGCGTTGAGGAGGAGCGTGGCAACGTTTTGCAAACGTTTATGGCCGGCCATCGTCGTGCCGAGCTTGGGCCATGGGCCGCCCATAATGTACATCCTCATGCACGTGAGATATTTAGCCTGCGTCACTGCGGCTTCACACATGAGCGAAGAGCTCGTTAGAAGGCCAGCAAGCATCCGCAGATACGCAGCTTCCACGTCGACAGGCGCGTGAAGCGCATCATGGCCAATGCCGGACTCCGCCTGAATCATTGTGAGCTCAAAGCCCAGTCCAGTGGCGGCGAAAGCATTGGTCGAGGCAGCTGGACAGCACTCGCCATGTCCAGAATCATAGCCGCCAGTACAATCCGCCGCCACGCCCCGGACATCGCCAGTGAGGCTACGAGCGCACCCGGCGTCTTTGCTAGGAAGTTGTCGTCACCGAGCGGACACCTGCGCGCAGCGAGTCGAGCCGGTCTCCATCAGTCGCGACACTGCGGTGGTTCCCCCGCCCGACACAGTATGGTTGAGCGTGTTCCCTGGGTCTCCTCGAGCCTCGAGTCGGCTTGTCATTGTCGAGACGGATCTGACTGTGGCTGTGAGCGCTCACTCTCTGTGGCGTGGGTGTGGGTGTGGGTGCTAAGCTTTCGCTTGCGCTCTGTCGCTGTGTTATAGGGCGGGCTGCCCTGGCGGTAGCGGTCGGTCGGTCGTACTCGAGTAGGTACCTGGTCCGGCCGGTGCTGGTCCGGCCGGTAGCCAACGGTGTCACATCCAGTGCTCAAGTCAACGCCGAACTTTGACGTGTCACGAGTTCGCGTGGTACGGGACCTCTCGATCGTCTCGCCCTCCCTCGCTGGTGTGTTCATGGGGGGGGGTCATAACAAACACGGTACAGGATCGAGGTGCACGCTGCCGAAGCAGTGTCCCCCCCCCCCCCCCCTCTCCATCGTCTCACTGGGTGGGAGACGTCGGCGGTGGTGGCGGTGTGACCGATCGAGCTACAAGAGGAGCTTGTTCAGCAGGATCAGGGTGGGCGGAGCAGTACCTCACTTCCTCAATGGGTGAGCTCAGAACTCCAGGCCAGCGCCACCACGCGTCCTCCCTCCCCTTCACCCATCGGCTCACATGGAAAATTAATCAGATGGAAGCAGGAAGCTTCCATCCCGGCTGTGGTTCGATGAATGCACTAACTCCGAACCCAACGCCCCCGGGCAACACGCGAGAGGCTTCTGCCATCATGAGCTGTGCGCATGACCGCAGCGGCTGGACGCGCACACAGGACAGTGGACTGAGAGCGGCCGACGAGTCGAGCCGACGAGGGAGCCGGTGTGGAGCTCGGGCGAGTGTGTCGAGGCTTGAAACGCGCAACGAGAGAGACCTCTGTCTCTCTCCAACAGCTCGGCCGCGCCTTGGCCCCGTGGACGCACGTAGAACTTCACGTGACAAGGAGCTTCTAATGAAACCGAGCGGCGACTTGATCCTTCCCTCGGAACGTCGCCGCAAAGTAACTTATCTCCTGCGTTCGCATTTGGGCGGTCATCGCAACACTCCCTAGCTCAACTGTCGACCCTAACGGGTCGCCAGCCGATCGTCATATCGCTCGCGACAATTATGAAGCCTCTGCATGTGCAACTGAGAACTGTGCATGTACATGTACATGTTGTTGTTGTTGTTGTTGTTGTTGTTGTTGTTGTTGTTGTTGTTGGAAGGTCACCACGGCGTCGTTTCACTGTTTGTTAGTTTGTGTACAGGCGCGCCGTCCATTTGCTATGAGGCCTCTCGCGGGACTGGGGCGCGTCCTCAGGGGATGCGCGCTCACTCACACGCATGGGGCCGAGACGGCGTGCACCGGTGCACGAGCCCACTCACACACGCACGGACGAAAGCACACGTGACGAGCGACGTGTGAGCTTCCTAAGGCGTCCTAGCGGCTACAAAGTGTACAAGCGGCGTCCTCAGTGGTCCGAGCGTCTCGTGCCCTCGTCGGGACCGCGGCGCGCGAGCGACTCACGCGCGTGGCGCCGACGAACAGAGGTGATCACCGCGGTAGCGCCCGTTCTTGTTGCTCGCTCAGACGCTCGCACCATTCTTGGTCACCTTGTCCGCGGCCTTGGAGTAGTCCATCTGGTCAGCGCCGCGTTCTCCGTCGACGGGCTTGTAGAGCTGCGGGTCGTAGTTGCCGAGGGCGCCCTTCTTGAAGAGCATGCCCCCGTGCTCCGGGAAGTACATCCCAAAGAAGAGGAGCGAGGTGCCCATGATGATGGCGCCTGTGAGACGGGGAGGACGGGCCGGGGCAGATCAGGCGAGCCTCTCGTGGCGGCGAACCTACACTCCGCTGGCTGGCACGACGCGGACCGAGGTTGATGAAGCCCTTGTCGACCGAGGGGGGGCCGACGCTGGGAGGTCCCACGATGAACTTGGAGCCCATCACAGCGCCAAAGTTGCCGCCCGCGCCGACCATGCCCGAGACGACGCCCAGGGCTGGCGCCGACACGTAAGGGACGACGCCAAAGTGGAGGCCTTCCGCCATCTGTGGCGGGAGGGGGCGGACCGTTAGCCGCTGGCTAGGGGGGGGGGGGGGGGTCGAGGCGGCATCTCGGCCAGGGTCGCAACGGCGCCTGGACGAAGATGGAGAAGAGGACCATCACCACCATCGTGACGCCGAGCGTGCCCTGGTTGCGGACACACTCCTCGTCCATCACGTCGCCGACGACGATGAAGTTGGAGGTTGTCGGCAAGGGCAGCTCGATCGCGTTCTCCGTGCCGTAGAAGAGCACGCCTGTGTCGGGAGTCTTGATCGAGTTGGAGCCGCAGGGCTTGACCCACGCCGACTTGGTGGAGTTGATGGTGAAGGTGTACTCCGTGTTGTACCTGCGCCGCGAAGGAAGCGGTGAGAGGAGTTTCCGCGCGAGCAGGGCGGTGTCTGAGAGGTCGGGGTCGGGTGGTTCGCACGTGTAAGGGAAGCCCGTCGGCGGGTTCGTCGTGTTCCACATGCCCCACATGCCGTCCTGCGGCTGCACGGACGGGTCCTTGTTATACACCGGCCGCACAAAGTCGTCCGAGCCCGGCTTGAGCATCCGGTCGGGCGACGCCATGTCGATGGTGACCTGGCCCATGATGATGCACATCATCCCCTCGAGGGCCTGGACGACCCACATGGACCACAAGCGGCCGCGCATGCCGTACCGGACGTTCATGGCGTCAGAGAGGATGCCTCCCCACGAGCGCGCGAACAAGTTCATCAGCCCGAAGCACGAGCCCAGGATGCCGGCGATCTGCGGCGTGACCGCGTAGTACCTATAAGAGTACGTTGTTGTTCGTGTTAGGCACCTATGGGAGTACTACGCAGTCACGTACTACGCGGTCACGTGTAGAAGTAGTTCACCGCCTTGTTGTTCATCGTGAGCTCGACGCCGAAGCAGAAGGCGTAGCCGATCGTGAGGATCCAGGTGTTGACGTTGGACACGCCGATCGCGAAAGTCTTGAAGCCGTTCTTCTTCTCCTTGACGCCCGACTTTTCGAGCTCGCGGTAGTTGCCGTCGGGCAAGTCCCGGCCGGTGATGACGGCGATGGAGGAGATGACGTGGAGGGCCGCCGGCACGATCATGCAGAGGCGCCACGAGCGGTCGATGTCATTGTCCGTCGCCGAGAGGAAGCCGAGCATGATCTGGGGCATCACCAGCTGCGTCACGCCGCCCCCCAGGTTGCCCCAGCCGCCAGCGGTGGCGTTGGCCGTGCCGACAATCTTCTTGGTGAACATCTGGGA